ATCAATACAAATAATTCACAAATGACTTCAGGAACTAGAAGTTAATTTTTTTCATTAGGGTTTTTCTGTTGGTTGGTTGGTTGGTTGGTTTGTGAGCTTTCTGAGGGTTAAATAGGCAGAAGAAAACCAGTTTTAAATATGGGCTAGAGGGAGTAGGATCTCTGAAAAAAGAAGTATTCCCAAGAGAAATCACTAGGTACATCTAGTCTATTAAGATAAGCCTGTCAGTACAAAAACACAATAGTCAGCTTTGATGTTAAAAAAAATTATAAACATTAAGTTGGATCATGGTGGCTTAATAACGTTCAGAGTTACATAATCCCCTCAGGAACAAAATCTTAGCCTTAAATGGAATATAATTCATTATTTCCTGATGGGCTTTTTCATATTGTTTTTTCCTCATTATTATTCCTATTAGAACTCAAGTAACTCCTCAAAATAATTCAATTTGGTTATTAAAAAAAAAAAAAAAAAAAAAAAAAAAAAAAAAAAAAAAAAACACCTCCAAAGAATCAAACAAAACTTGAATCCAAACTCTAACTTTGGCATGAAATAGAATAAGAAAGCTCTAATCTCTTAGAAAACAGGTGTAAAACTATTGGCTAATCATTACATGTCAAATAGACTTTCAGATATTCTCATACAGACTTTTTTTTTTTTGCAGTTGGGTGAATTTTCTTTTCAATTTTATTTTTAAATTCTGGAGTACATGCCATGGTAGTTTGCTGCACTGATAAACCCATCACCTAGGTATTAAGTCCAGCATCTATTAGCTAGGAATACATTCCTGATGCTCTCTCTCCCCACCCCTGTCTCGACAGACTCCAGTGTGTGTTGCTTCCCTCCCTGTGTCCATGTATTCTCATTGTTCAGCTCCCACTTACAAGTGAGAACATGTGGCTTTCGGTTTTCTGTTCATGCATTAGTTTGCTGAGGATAATAGCTTCCAGCTTCATCCATGTCTCTACAAAGGACATGATCTCATTCTTTTTTATGGCTGCATAGTATACCATGGTGTACATGTACCACATTTTCTTTATCCAGTCTATCATTGATGGGCATTTGGGTTAATTCCCATGTCTTTGCTGTTGTGAATAGTGCTGCAATGGACATAAGCATGCACATTTTTTAGATATTCCTGAAAAGTCCTGATTTCATATATTCCGTCTCAATGTCAGATATGTCATTCCAAAGGCTTTGAAAACTATTATTACATTTGTTCCTTATTATCACTGAAGGTAAGCAGAAAATTTCTTAATAACCCTCATTTGCAAACGAGAAAGGACTATGTTCAGAAATTTGTTTAGATCATGTGACAAAGCCAGAAGTAGAACTTCAGATTCCTGGTATACATTCTCTCCGAGTATGCTCTGCTACCTTCTGTTGAGTGAAATAATTCACAACCAAGTAATTTAAAATAACCACACGTTTTTTGATTTGTGAATTAAAGTTTATTAGGTAAAGTCTCTTAAAAGAAAACAATAAAATGGTTTAGATCAATAGCAAATAAGGATTATAAACAATCACAAGATAATAACTAGCAGTAATCATCACATATAAGAATTTACATAGGCACAACTCCCCACATATTTTAGCCCAAGCAAATAGGAATGAATACTTGAACTACCTAATCCACTACCATCTACCAGCCTATCTTCCTTGATTTTCACACCTTTAAGCTTGTCTCAGAATGATAACGGAATGATAAAGGACTTCTTTTTTTTTTTTTTTTTTTTTTTTGAGACGGATCCTTGCTCTGTCACTCAGGCTGGAGTACAGTGGCGCAATCTCAGCCCACTGTAGCCTCTGTCCGCCAGGTTCCAGTGACTCTCCTGCCTCAGTCTCCTGGGTAGCTGGGATTACAGGTGTCTGCCACCACGCCCAGCTAATTTTGGTATTTTTAGTAGAAACAGAGTTTCACCATGTTGGCCAGGGTGGTCTCAAACTCCTGATCTCAGGTAACCTGTCTGCCTTGGCCTCCCAAAGTGCTGGGATTACAGGCATAGGCCACCATGCCCGGCCTCTTTTTCCTTCCATGCTACATAATAATTGACTTTCGCATTGATTTTAAGAAGACACAGAAAAGGGCTAATTCGCATAAAGGACCAGCCACTCTCTCCATTCTCCTGGAGGAGATTCAGGATTTCATTCAGAGGTATCCAGTCAGTGGACTAAACTAGTTAATAATTCTCCATCTAATTGAGCTTTCAGATACATGACTTATGGCAATCGCCTATCAGCTAGCTAGCTATAGCAACATCTTAGGGTTGGCTAATTTGCGTAAGACTAAAACAGGGCTTTGTTCATAAACCTGTTTAAAAACTAACTCCATATCATGGCTTTCCACCATAAACAGTTGCATAACTGTTGACAATTTATTAATTTGCTTCTCTCTCCTGAAAACACCTTCCCCACTAGTTCTTGTTCCAAAGTATTTTCTTATTTCCTAAACATTTCTTTTCACTATTAACTCTAATTCTGTTCCCTAGAACAAACATACTTAATACAAGAATCTATTTTTTGGAGTGGGGGTTATATCTTAACAATCCTTAAGCATATCCAATTACAGAATCAAAGCAAACACTGGAATATATCTTATCTAGTTCCTGAGGTGCCATTACAGTACAAACTTTCCAGGTAACCCAGGCAAACAAGGGGTCAGCCAGCTCCACATATAATGAGGTTGTAGCACCTCCCTGCTTTGATGCCTAAAGACTATATTAAACATTACTCGTCTTGCAGGCTGGTTCAAATCTTTGTCCGGTTTCAATATCTAGAGTAGTCTCATGGATTTCTCTTGCATCGTTTCATGACCTCCTTGAGTTAGTATGGTTGCTTGTGTTCTCTTATAATACACTAACAGTTTTAACAAGCTCACATTAATCTGTTATGGGATTGTTATAAAGTCCATATTCTAAAATTCCACTTGGAGGAATAGTTACCCTTTGGGATCTATATCATGTTTAAGAGCACCAGATCTGTCCTGCTACAGTTAAATTGCTCACCAAATAAAATTTGTAGCAGACTGGTGGCTTCTCCTTGGATATGTTCTCAGATCTTGTCCAGGTATTTATGCTTTGAGTTTTATTTTAACACAAAATTATAGCCCAGTTTCCTAAAGTCCAAATTCCCTGTGGGGAATGTGTATCTTCCCTGGCTGTTTTTGAAGCTATAATTAAAGCAACAATTTCTTTAACGTTTAACTTTTATCCAGTTCCCCTATTTTTATTATTATTTACTAAATGTCTAAATTTTCTTGTTAAACTGTTATCACTAAGCTTCCTAGTAAGGCTGTTCCTAATGGAAAGGAGTGATAAACTGTTTCACCTTGCTTTCCCACTACTCTATTTAGGTTAATTTGGCATAGTCCCTTTGTACTGCATCAATTATTTGCCATTTTGTACATAACTGCTTATCTAGAGTCTTCTGTACTGGGAAAACAAGATAGTAAGGTTCAGTTTGTCCAGTTATTGTGGCAGTAAAATCCCTAAATCTGCTATCCCATGTGGATTTTAATTATCCACAGTTGTTCTGTGATGTAATTTTTATTTTTCCTATTTGTGTTTTCATTTGCTCCTCTAAGTCTCCTGAATCCTCATCTACTTTTATCAATCCTTTCACATAGCAGTCTATTTTTGAAAGTTCTCATATTAATATGTTGAATAGTTCCACAAATTCTGATTTTCAAAGGTTAGCTCTGAAGTCATCTGTGTTAAATGTCATTTTAATTATTTTGACTATAATATGCTTTAGGCCTTTATATGAATTGGTATAATCTGATTTCCACCAGTGTGGATTTCCTTCTACAAGTCATTTCTTTGCAGTTTGCATGTAATACGTTGTCTAGTGGTATACCTTTATATCTTTATGTAGTTGTTGCCTATGGCATGAGATGCAATGGTCATTCTCGAAGGAGGGCCATAGTGTCCATGGGCTTGTCTGAAAGGTAGCTATTTTTACAAATAGAAATGAAGGTACAGTATGGCATGCAATTGGTATGGTCAGTAAATTTCCTGCATATTTATTTGGTCCCTCTGTGTTTTGCTGTGGGGGTCCTTCAACTATTGCATTTTTCCCCTTCTGGCATATGCAAAATTATTGTGGCTAAATACCAACCCATATTTTATTTAAATTCATTATTGCTTCTATCTCTGAACAGTAAATATTTCTAGGTTGAGGTTGCAGCAGATTCATTGTAATAAGCCTATTAACTATTCTTTTTAAATTAAGCTATATTCAAGAAGATATATTGTATCCACATCCACTATGGACCATATCTAGGCCAATATGGTGAGTGTTTGTCTTTCCATTGGTGAATAGTCCTTGTAGGGCTTTGCTTAGCCCTTCCATTACGTCTCTCTTTGGTTATTTGCTATAGTGTGCCATTTTCATTTGAAGAATAGTAGTGTAAAGTAGCTGCAATGTGGTCAGAATTTGCAAGAAAAGTCTTGCATTGGAAATCTTGGTTTCACTTTTTTCAGTTTTCTCCTTGGCAACAGTCATTCAAAAACCTTTCTGCAGTTTTGTTATACTGTAGATAGTACTCTTTTAAAATTACCTCCCTTAGTCTGCTATAGCATTTTTTGATGAACACATTCTCTCTTATAGGATAAGTAAGGAATTATATCCTTTCAAATAAAAGTATCTCAACACTGTCCTGTTAATGTGAATGTATTCATTTACTTTACAGTAAATGCTACCCTGGGGGCTAGTTCCCATTTGATTTCCATTCATTGTAGACCAGAGAAATTGGTCCTAAGATGTGACAGAGTTCATCTGTTCTCCACTCCATAGTTAGATAAGGAATTTCTTTTATTTACTATTGTTTGCTCCTGTCATCAGAAATTCGAGCATTAGAGTAAGTACAGGTAAAGGGAGACTTACATGGCAAAAGCTAGAATTTTTAAAATAACAACAAAGAGGAAAATAGACCAGCCTTTGCTGGAAGTAAATCAAATCTTACTTGTTATATGGGTTATTAGTGATGAAAATGTGCAGAATTATGAGAAAATACATATTGTTAATATACAGAAAATAAGAATATAGAATATATTGAAACAGAGGAATGATCAGTTTTCACATGCCGGTGGGGGAAAATTGGATCTTAGTCACTTATTAAGTCATCATTTATACCAGAGACTGCATCTTCATATAAGCTATCTATTTCTAACATAGCCTGATCTACATCAAACATTAGGCATTCATCCTCTGTTGGTGTAAGTATTGAGTCTAAGTCTGAGAGATTAGGGAGATCTGGTGCTGAAGCCTCCTCAGGAGGAGGTGCATCTGCTTCTATCTCTTCTGCGCTACCATTTTCTTCTACATAAGGAACTTCTTGTTGTTGTATAATGAATTGTAAAAGCTCATTAGCTATTCTTATTAACTGGGCTACACAAGCAATAAGTCCATCCATGAGTATGGGAACTGATGTGGAATCCATGCCTCAGTGTTCTTATCAATAGATAAAATATCACTAAAAGCTCTAGCAAATAGACACTTGGTGACAATGGATAGTACAGGGGCTAACAATGGTTCTGTGGTTGGTTTAGACCAGAAATTAGGGTGTGTATATAATTATGATGGTGATCAAGTACAGAACGAGAACAGTGGAACAATATAACTTTTTGATGATGTCGGTAAACTGTGCGCAGAATTAATATATGGTACTCTTGTTTGTACTAATGGTGAACTGCTATTATAATAACCATCAGGCAGACTGTCACAGCCAAGAGAAAACAGGAAAGCAGACCTAATAATAAAAAGATAAATATAAAGATTAGTATCCTTGAGTCTTCATCCATCTTACAGGCTATGGCCACAGGTTACTCCTATCAAGAATTGCTGCTAAGGTTGAAAGGATATGCCTAACTATAGCTGGCTTTGTGAGGATCTACTACTCTTTCCTTTGAATACCTCATGGTCTTCATCACTTGTTAAGAGATTCGGGAGAAAAGTGAGCATAGGTAGTTTGTCTGTCTCTCTTGAACATCTCTTTTGAGGAAGGATACACTCACTTAGGGCCTGTCAATTAACTCTGTCTTAATTAGCAAATTTGCTTTGTTGCCATTTATAGCTGGTATTACTGAATTCTTTCTGTGCTTTTAGAAATCCATTCATTAAAGTTTCCAGTTGTCCCACAGCCTGGGGAGTATATGGTAAATAAAAGTCTCACATTCTCTGTATTTTGCTAAATTTTGGACAATTTCAGTTATTAAACTAGTTCCTTGATAATTTCCTATTACTGACCCTCTTCCATATCCAGCAACTAGTTTCTCCAACTTTATCTAAAGCCGTGGTTGTACTGTTTTCATCTACATATCTGGTGGCCTCTGCAAACCCACTTTCTGAGTAAGTATATATTTGTTTACGTCTATATTATATTTTTGAAAATCTAGATATTGGCTCAATATAATCTACTTGCCATGTTCCCCTGGTTTATCACTCCCCACCACACTTAAAATGAATCCACTGAGGATGCAAGAAATTTTTAGCATTTTGTCATATCTCATATTTCTTACTTGTTTATTTGATTCATGGTTTTTTAACTCTTTGGTCTCTGCTGACCTGGTATATACATGCCCATATGCCCTGAGATTTCACAAGCCCATTCTACAACCTTAAATTGAACTAACAAGGGTGCCAAGTAGAGTCCCCGAAGCTTCAGGGTCTACATTAGTTTTGCGGGCCTAGATTATCTCCCCTCTCATTCCAAATTATTCTTCTTTTCCAATCTGATGAGCTGACATGTGTTTTACAAGCATTTCTAAACTCCTTTAACCAGTTTAGTTTCATATCTCCCTTTACCAGATTGTTTTTCCTGCAATAGTCCAGGTCTACATGGCTGATAAACATAGCTATATACCTTTGGCCATTTTTTTTCCCCTTGGATATATCTATATGTTAAATGTATGGCTATTAATTCTGTAAATTGGGCTGATTTTCTTTCTCCAGCCCCAGTCAGGCTTTTCCTAGTTGAAAGTCTTAGGAAGCAGTCATCTCTATCACTCCTTTAGAATTCTACCAAGTCTATTATTACCCAGTTTTCAGCAATTCTGACCAGAGTGGGGTCCAGCAAGCCACAGGCTTTACTTTTAGTTGACTGTAATCCTTGGATATTTATTGGAGTACAGAAAATCATCAGCCAGATGGCCTGTGATTTGCACATAGAGCTTGCTGGTCTCCACAAGGCCTTTTTTGACCCACTTAGTTGTATACTATGTCCACTTAGCATAAATCCTGTCAGATCACTATATTTTTTTTTTTTTGTCCAAAATCCTACAAGTAGACATAGGGTTTTCCCTGATGATAAGGGTCACAACGATAATGACCAGAAAGCATGATTTTGTTGAAGGCAACTTTCCATATGAAATATAGAAGAATGGGTACTAGAGGCAGAACAGTTTGTTTTATTAATTCAAAAGATCTGTTTGTTTGATTTAAGGGAAACACGTCTCATGGAAAGAAATATGGAGAGAAATCAAGGAAAGGAATTTGACATTTATGTAGAATATGCATCAGCTCATCAAAAGGAAAACACGGAAGTAACATGTGTGTTAAATATTGTTAGGGAGCACCATCACATTTTTCAAAGGTAGCAATAACCTACTACTATATAGTATCCACAGCCCAAAGGCACAAGAATATTGCAGGAACACACTCACACAAAATCTATTTAACTTCTGACTTCCCATTCACCCAGTTTTTTTTTTTTTTTTTTTTTCTTCTCAGCTTCTCTATCTTCTTCTGGGACTCTTTTATTCCTCCTCTTTGTCAATATGCTTCCATTTATTCACCTATGTGGTTCATTCTATTTCACACCCTCTCTATCTCCATCTTTTCTTACTCTTTGCCATAATCTTTACTTGTATCTCTCTCCTAAAACTGGGAAAAGTTTGGAATAAATCAAATTTTTATTGTATTTATTGAGTTGTACATTACATAACCTAAATACAAAAAACAAAGAGGCAAAACATTCCATATTTTGTTCTTTTATAAGACAAATGTAGTTACTTATTACTTTATGTGGCCCTTGATTTATTTGCAGGGTGGGGGACTCAGCCACTTTTGATGGGAAAAATAATTACTGACCTTGCCTTAACTTTGTTGACCCATTTATTAGCTGATCTACCATTTTTATTCTCAAACGAACTCAGAACCTAGCAACTAGGGGGTGAAGACAGGGTAAGGAGAAACTTGAAGAACTGCTAAGTATTCCAATAATAAGAAAGAGTAAGAGTGTAGCATCAGCTTATGACAGTTGCAGTAATTTCCAAAGCAACTGACTCTGGACACCTTAGCCTAAAGGGGCACTTGGAATAGTTTATGCCTAGCCCCAACTCACCTTAAGGGACTTTTTTATTAGTTATATCCTCTGCCTGGGATCCTTTTCTCCTTGCTAGGGGAGGAGGGGATAATGACTTTGTGTCATTCTGATATCTAATATAACCTCCTCAGATTTCTTACCCCTCAACCTGAGTAAAGCCCCAATCATTCCTTTCCCATGATGTACAAATTTCATTTTTGCATGATGGTACCTAGCTATAACTAGCTCATATTTCCTTGTTTAATTATTTGTTCTTCTGTCTCTCACCTTACCCCCATGTACATATAGACTAAAATGTAACTGTCATGAGACTAAGAAATTTGCCTGTTTTGTTTTCTGCTATATCCCCAAGGAACAGAAGAGTGCTTACCAGAATAGTATGTAATCAGTAAATGTCCTTGAATAAAGGAAATAATGGAAGAAGAGAGGGAGCAACAACTTTCAGCTCATTCATTCAGTAAATATTATCAAGCTTCAACCATGCATGTGGAAAACAGAGGGTATAAAGATGGACCAACTCATCAAAACATACAGTTAATAAAATGAACAGGCAACTCAGACTGAGAGAAAATATTCACAAAACATGTATCTGACAATGAACTTTCAACCAGAATATATAAAGTATATTGCTTTATAACACTATATACTTTATATATAAAGTATATTGCTTTCTAACACTATTTTATATATAAATATATAAAGTATATTATATAAAATATTATATTTTATACATTTATATATTATAATATTTTACATATAACATTATATGCTTTATATATTCTGGTTAAAAGTTCATTGTCAGCCGGGCGTGGTGGCTCAAGCCTGTAATCTCAGCACTTTGGGAGGCCAAGGCAGGTGGATCACAAGGTCAAGAGATCGAGACCATCCTGGTCAACATGGTGAAACCCCGTCTCTACTAAAAATACAAAAAATTAGCTGGGCATCGTGGCGCATGCCTGTAATCCCAGCTACTCAGGAGGCTGAGGCAGGAGAATTGCCTGAACCCAGGAGGCAGAGGTTGCAGTGAGCCGAGATCATGCCATTGCATTCCAGCCTGGGTAACAAGAGTGAAACTCCGTCTCAAAAAAAAAAAAAAAAAAAAAATGTTCATTGTCAGATATGTGTGTGTGTGTGTGTGTGTGTGTGTGTGTGTGTGTGTCTATATATATGTGTGTGTGTATAAGAACCCCTACAACTCAATAATAAAAAGACAAACAATCCAACTTAAAAGTGGTCAAAAGATCTGAAGAGACAATTCAAGTAAAGAGCTAATAAGCACATGAAATCATCCTTAACATCATTAGTAATTGGGGAACTACAAATCGACATCACACTAAGATCCCACAATACACTCAGTAGATTAGCTAAAATTAAAGACAGACAACACCAAATATTGACAAAGATGTAGAGGATCCAAAATTCTTACACACATTTATAGTACTGGTAGGAGTATAAAATAGTATTATGTTTTTGTAAAAACATCTATCAGTTTCCTATAAAACTAAGCATTCACCTTTCTATATCCCAGAAATTCCACGCCTAGGTATTTACCCAAGAGAAATGAAAGTTCACAAAGTGACATTTACAAGGATGGCAATAGAAGCTGTATGCATAATCACCAAAAAGTAGAAATAGCTCAGGTATCTAACAAGAAGAGAATGAATAAGCAAACTATGGTATATTCACACAATGTGATACTAATCAGCAATAAAAAGAAAGGCACTACTGACAGGGACAACGACATGGATGAATAATCAACATTATACTTAATGAAAGAAGCCAGATACAAAAGATTACATGCTGTATGATTCTATTCATACGAAATTTTAGAAAGTGCAAAATAATCTACGTAGAAAAAAATTCAGGATAGCAGTTGTATTTACGGAAGTAGGAACTGAGTGGGAAGGGGCATAAAAGAACTTTCTAGAGTGATGGTAATTATTGTGTTTAGATAAGGTTGTCAGTTACATAGGAGTATGCATGTGTCAAAACTCATTGAATGGTACTCTAAAGATTTGTACATTTCACTATATGAAAATTTTACTGCCCTCAAAAAAGTAACCAAGCACAATCCCCAGCCTCTGAAAGCATATGCCAGATTTGATGATGTGCCCATAAAATTGTTTCCAATAAATTGTCACATTAATGGGAGACCTATTATGTATCAAGGCCTGTAAATCCCACTTTTCTTATATTACAGATTGAGTATCCCTTATCCAAAATGGTTGGGATCAGAAGTGTTTCAGATTTCAGATTTTGGAGTATTTGCATATACATAATGAGATATCTTAGGAATGAGACCCAAGTCTAAACATGAATTTCATTTATGCTTCATAAACACCTCATACACAGAGCCTG